CATGATCCTCATTTACAGATAGCTTATATAAAATTCTATATAGCAATCTAGTATATATAAATGCATTATTATCATTATTAATCATTTATTTGACTATAACTATTATTACTTTGTCTTATACATAATACTCAAAGTTTAACTAAGTTTAACTTAATTTTATGGTGACATTTCATCATCCTATATCCTTTCAGTAGTAGTGCAGTTCACTATCTCTTGCCATTTGTAGAATCTGTATTCTAAGTGTTTTCTTGATAAGTCTTATCTGGACTTCTCTTGGCAACTTGTTGTTCATTGCATATCTTATAAAGACTCAAAACCCTCCATCTGTTCCTTCCATCAACTTGCCTTTAGTTATCACTGGTGCTTCTGCCAAAATTATTGTTTCTGCCAAATTTTCTCCCCTTTCTTCATCTATGTTTTGAAGTCTGAGATAGAATTCCAGTTCAGCGATCTCTCCTTTCAATATTTCACACGTATAATTTCCCTCCACTCTCAGTTTTTTGTCAGTGTCAACAATTTTCTTATCACTTTGTTCATATTTCTCTGCAGTTTTTTGAACTCTATCCTCAAATTTCATCATTGTTTTGTAAATATTCTCAACTCTTCCCTCCATTCTTTCTGTATTTTTTTCTATAAGCTCAAGTCTCTTATAATTCTCTCTGTGATTATTATAACTTTTGTGAATTTCTAGCATAATTTTGTAATGTTAATTCCTTTTCTTCTTCATATTGCACCATTTTTCCAGGTTGTAAACAATGCCACTAAGACATCCAACGCTTTTTGCTAGGTTTCAAACAAATTCAGTGTAATCTTTCAAGTCAAAGCTTTCTCTTTACTCCAAAAGAGCACCTGTATAAACAAAACATGCTTTCCCACTGTCCCTTTCAGTAAACAAAGCCAATAGCCTTGTAATATCAGATGTTACCAAGCCTCCAGACTCTAGATGGCAGTGTTACTTCTTTTTCCTCTGCTTTTACATTTCTCCTTAAGCTCCAAACTCAAGAGGAGAAAAAAAGGCTTAAAAGTTACCATCCAGCCAAGCCATGAGAGGAAAGAGATTTTTAATCCACAAATACAAAAAATGGGGAAAAATAGAAGAAGAAGGAAAAAAAGACCAGTCCAATTTAAAAGTAAGAAGCATTTGTAAAAATTCCATCCATAGAAAGAAACGAAATTAAAGAGGAAAAGATAATGTAATAATTTTAATCCAGGCTTAATTAACCGCTTGCTTTCTTCAATTTTAATTTAACTCTAAGTCTTTTGGGGTGTTGTCTGTTACCATTTCAGGGGTCTGTCCCAACCTTCTCCAGCTCAATGGCTGCTTCTCTTGTAGCTGGAAAAAGAGCTTCTCCTGGTTCAATCAGGGGCTTTGCAATGCCCCTGAGATAAGAAGGATGTGCCCTTCTGTATCACCATTTCTACAGGACAGTTTAGGTCCAAAAAGGACCATCCAGAAGCAGAGATATCGGCAGCAATCCTGGAGCCCCAAGATTGCATGTCATGTCGTAGCAATGTCAGCCCCGCCCTTCTATTCTATTCCATTATATTATACTCTTATTCTTACTCTTACTCTTACTCTATTCCTTGATCCAGGAATGGGCACAACAGCCACATAAACAAAGTTATGAAAGGGCCCTCTTGCCACGACTTTCACCTGATCAATGACTTTGCCTTACTTAAAATGGGCCACGGCTATGAGGATTTTGACTTTTGACAAATCAAATGACAAAAAAAAAAAAACAATGGTGGGGGAAAACAGTTTTCAGTTTAATGGGAGTAGGTAATATACAAATTGAGGCCAACGGAGCCAGACTCTCAATCTCAGTTCTTGTTCTAGCTCATGTTCCCCTGCAAATCTAGACTCCGACAGGGGCATGACACATTGTTCTTTGCAGATAAAAGAAGAGTAGGGAACAATCTGTATTACATTATTACTTTTGAATATGTTTGCATACATCATTTTCTCCTTTCTGAAATGGATAAATATCAGTGCATCTCTTTGCCCTCTAAAGGGATGCAGTTATCACAAAATATCATGTTTGCCTAGAAGCTATGAGATATGACATGGCATAAAGGATGGTTAAAACAAGGTGCATACTGAAATTATTTTCTATTCCCAACCACGAGACTCCACCCCCATTGAGGAGAATCGGATAGGAAGTTGAGAATTTAATTTCTACCATAAAAGAAAGGAATAGAAGCTGGAAATTCCACAAAGTGTCAGAAGAATAGAGAAACAAATATATACAGGAACATTGAAATGGAACCTAAACTTTTAAATTACTAAAATATCCAATTAAAAAACAAAGTTAGAAAATATCCCTCTTGGAATAACAAAGTTATCTAACACAAGGTTTTATTTCTACATAGAGCAATGTGTCTTAATGTGGACAATGTGGACAATGGAAATACATAAAAATGGTTGCATGATTATTGCTAATAGTCTATTAGTTCAGTTTATGTAACTGCCCACCTCAAACAAGTAACTCTTATTGTAACAGATTATAGCACTTGATAAGGCATTGTTC